CCTTGCAAGAGTACAAATAACATCGACATTGGATGACCCATATAAATTTTTGGGATCCAATGAAGCACTCAAAGAAAGGAGTTTTACTAATTTATCATTAAATCGGGTCCTTAACTCCATCAATACAAAGTCTATTGCCGCATTGAAAACACCAAAGTGATAATGATGTTCAACTGTAGTTTCTTTCTGCAATGACCAACCGTATATTCAAAGTTCAACTTCGGTACATGAATTTCATGTTTTGAGCAAAACTCTTTTACTTCTTCAAGAAAGCCTTCCCATCCGTTTTTTGTCAATTCCTCTAGAATGATTGGTTGTGTAATGAAAAAATGTCTCTCATGGCTAACAAGATATCAAATAAAAAATTTTGAAGGCCTTGACAGAATTCATTATTTCCATAACCAAGCATTCCAGCCCAGCTAATTGTGAGGTTACCGTGTCTAGTGAGAGGTCTCGAGTTCGAAATCCGCTAGGCACACAAGGGTGCGAAACTCAACGGAGTGAGTTTCAACCCTGATTACTCCAGGCTCCCCCAGCCCCCCTTCCCCCAGACCCCCGTGGAGTAAAAAAAAAGTAAAGGATCACAAATTCAAAACATGAAAAGTGTTTATGTACACTACAAACTTATGCCCAAGAACTCACTTTTGGGCAATGTTTTTGAAAATATTCAAGCACTTTAAAAGTTGTTGTGAACATGTCAATAAAGTCCTTATATGTATATACTAAGTGCCAATTATTAAGTATGAGGGTGATGTGTATAACATTTAGATTAGATTTTTAGATGTTAAGATTTTGTATTATGAGCTGGGCTGAGAAATTGGACTGGGCTATAGAAAAATTTGGGATGGGCTGGATGCAATTTTTTAAACATAATACCTTAATAATAATAAGTTTTTTTTACTTTGCCCTGGATTTCAGCCCACCATAGCCCTAACATAGATCCTCCCCTGGCGCTCTCCTTCCATTCTTCTGACTTCTTGTTAATTAATAAAACTATATATATATAATTAATTATATATAATTATATATGTATATAATTATATATGTATGGAATGAGCAGGTGAGGAGCTAAACGGGAGTTATGGAGTCGGGGATGAAGAAGTACTCAAGGAGATGAGGGTATCTTTGGTCCAAGCTAAATAAATGTTCCATTATAACTATCCTAAAAGTTTGAATTAATTACAAAAAAACCAATAAGCAGTTAAAAGCACCCCAACTCCAACTTCCAGTTTTTAGCTTCAAAGTACTTTTTTTAAGTAGAAGCAGGTGATTGCAAACACTATTTTCTGTTTTATTTAAGTTAAAAGCTCACAATGCTTTTTTTAAGTGTTAGCAAACACTGCTTTAGCTTTTAGAGTAGTTTGGCCGACTCAGTTAATACCATGTGCTTCACCCATCTGCTAACTCCCTTTTCAGATTTGGTCCCCTCCTACGTGGTTCGCCCTCAGCCGAGTGAATGGCGCCTTGTGCAGTGTCAGGCGGAAGCACCCCACCAAGGCCAAGCAAGCGTCGGCCGCTGACTCATGGCGGCGATGGTGTCACGGCAGATCGGAGGCGTCCGTGGAGGCTTTCCTCCGTCCGCAAAACCTGGTTCCCTGGAGCTCTAAACCGCCATCAATGGCGAGAACCCAGGAAGCTCTGGTTGATGGCGAGTTGGACAAGCCATCCAAACTCGGTGACCGGCGGCCTTTGGCAGGTGGCACCGACGCGGCCTGAGCTGGTCCGGGATCCCCGGCGGATCTGGTAGTTTCCGGCGAGTCCATCCCAGTCTGGAAAATCCAGACCCGAGCTTCCACTTCCTCGCTGGAATCAGCATCTTCTTCCTGCTTTCATTTCCAGAATCTTTCTTCCCTAATTCTTCCTTCCCTTTCACGTCAGATATTCTTCCTCCTGCTTGCTTTCCAGGATCTCTTTTTTTTGCTGCTTTTTCGTATGAAATTTGTGTAGAACACATGAATCTTTTTGGACAGATTCCCACAGACGGCGCCAGTGTTGAGTTTAATCCAACACGATATAGAAAATATATGTATGAACACTCAGTTTTTACGTGGAAACCCGAAAGGGAGAAAACCACGGGACTTTTTAGGCTAATGTCCAAGCCCTCTCTTTCTCATTAGGACTCTCCTCACAATTACATTGTACAAGCTCCCATTAATGGAGTATTGAGCTAAGCCTAAAAGAAGGAAGGAAGAAGGAAGGATCCTTTACATGGAGGCTAAGCTCCGTATTTATAGGGGAAGGAGAGAAGGGGCTCTCCGCCCTAATGGGCCAAACGGGCCGATAGCGGGCCTGGTGGTCAAAGTGGGCCGGATGGGCCGAAATGAGCCTAACTGCTCGGGCTCCGTATTGGATAATGTCTTGGGCTCTTGAACAGTAACAGACCGGGATAATATATCCCAACAGAAATATTTAAGGATGACTAACTTTTTGGACCTGTTTGGCAATCGATATTTAGCCGTTAATGCTTAGCTAATTGTGTTAGTGGATAATTAATATCAAATTTAATTGAGTGGTTTGGATGGCGGACTAATTTGACAGGTTGTGAAACGGTGTTTGATAGATTAGATGTTCGGTATTAGCGGATGGTAGATAAAACCCATGTAAGGGCATTAGTAGATTTTAATACCACTCATGTATTTCCTATTTTAGCTGATACAACTTCTAACATTTTCATTAGTTCTCAAAGAAATATGATGATTAATGTGTTCAAGGATTCAACTGGATATGAAACACGATTATTAGAAAACTTAATCAATAATACATGCATTGTTAGAAATACCATAATGTATAATTTGCTACATGTTTGTATCAATCTCAATAAATTTGAATGGTCTGGATATCATGTTTACATACAAATACATAAATTCACATAAAATATCTATCTATATATCATTTTTAAGTATTGTCACTAGAACAACGAGTGTAATATCTATATGCTTGAGATATTCCTAAAATAGAGCATAGAGAGGCCAGGTAGTAAAAAAGGGAGAACAAATAAACACTACACATATTTTCACCTTAAGTGTTGATTATGATTTTTTTTCTATGTATTTCCTATATTTTCAATTTGATTATATACTAAAAATTATTGTCTATCAAATAAATTACATTCAAGGGAATCCGGCCGCGCAACTCATGGGTCGATTGACTAGTACTACGTACATTTCAGTTATAAGAACATTCTTCGAGCGTATTTAAATGCAAAGTCACCCATCAAACTTTCAATGTCAATCTTTTGAAGTGTTTCAAACTCTATATCAACCCCAATCCATTTTGGGTTAAGGACTACAATTATAAACCCAAAAACCTATTAACATGCTTATATATATACCAATTCCTTAATTGTTAAATACAATTACTAATTGAATTACTTAACAACCTCAACCTTCAATGCTTCATTAAATGGATAAAGTAATTAACAAGGACCTAATTTGTAATTAAAAAAGAGAAGCAAAAAAGCCGTAAGATATAAAGGTGCATTCGGTGCTAACCGAGTGATGGAGGGCCGAGGTCGGAGGTAATTCAATCTTCGGCGTGCAGCAACTAAGCCATTTAACAGAAACGAGAAAGTCAGAAAGGCACCCGGTGAGGCAACAATGGCGGTTTGGCACGGACGCATGGTGGCCGGCTGGCAGCGATCGAGGCGTGAGGCCTCATCGATCGTTGACTAGTGCCAACTTTGGGCTAGTTTGGCCAGGCTCTTGCCTAGGGCCTCACATGCCAAGGGGTCCTCCAAAAAATAAATTATTATTACTACTACGTATTACTACCTCCATCCCCTAAGATTGGGACAAAAGAAATAGCGTGGTTTTTAAAAAAGTAGATTTATATGGTGAATAATGAATTGATAAAGTGAGAATAAAGTAAGAATGAATTGAAGTCAAACAAATATTATCAACTACGGGTATAAGACAAATTTAGTGGGACGAATGAAAATGAAAAAAATGGGAGAATTATAGTGGGAGGGAGGGAGTATAATTAAATAGAAATAGGAAAATAGTTGTCTTGATTCACGCATCCAGAAGCAACTCAATTGAAGAACTATGAGGCTGCAAATAGGCCTTTCACCATTGCCGAAAATCCTAAATTGAGAATCTCAACTCGCAATCGGTTCCTCATTTGAACGCAGACCACCTTCCTTTCGATGGAGTGAATCTAGTTCTCTCATCTCTGACTTCTCTTCTTCTCTTGAATTCTTATTAATTTTTGTCTGATTAGATTGATTTTAATTAGATTTTAGCCAATAAAATACGCAAATAGAATGAAGGGTATGAGCCTAAAATACACAAGCGGTGCAACAGCCTATTCAGGAATACAAAATAGAAGTACATAGTATGGAGTACTAGATAAGGTCGTAAGAATTCGAGCACACCGTGCATGTTTAAAAGTGACTGAATTTGGCAGCTTAGATTTTCATTGCTTAGGGCTTGAGGTAAATTCCAAAATTTTAAACACAAGTGATTGAAATGAAGGTGTTAATTTGCTATACTGGCATTGTATGGATTGGATGATAAATACATAAAATAATTAGTTTTATGGTATTGACACTTGCAAAGTAGTTATTTTGTTTGGTAGTTTTAGTTTTTATTAAATGATTTGTTTGTGATTTTTATATTATTTATAAATAAGATTCTTTGATACTCCCTCCATCCCGTAATAAACTTCACACTTTCTTTTTGTGGGCAGTCCCAAAATTAACTTCACACCTCAAAACTTTCCTTATTTGGCAAATTATCTATATCAAAACAGTGTCAAACAGTGTCCAAACAGTGTCAGTGTTTGAACAGTGCAAAACAGTGCACTCCACAGTAAAGTCAAATTTATTTTCTTAATCTGTATGAAGTTTATTGCGGGAGGGAGGGAGTATTATTTAAAAATAATTTTTTTGTTTAGGTCCTCAAATATTCTAAAGCCGCTCTGAGTTTGACGCGAGTCGACCCTTTGTAGCTCTCCCAGGAGGGCTGGGGGCAGGAACTCTCTTCACTCTTCAATACCGGTGGGCGTAGCTCAACTGGTAGCGAGGGAGTGCCACAAGAGTTAGGTCCCGGGTTCGAATCCTGGCAACTGCGATGAGAGGTTACTATGCTAAAAATGCATAGGGTCTCTGCAAGTACTGGGGACGAAGCTCCACTCTTTATCTGTCAGATTGTGATTATAGTCCAATTTACATCCTCCCATCGTGTTGTCCGGTCGGTGTTGGGGGGCCCTCAGGGATGGGTGTCATCCTTTTTTTCTCGTCACTCTTCAATCCTCCGTCCTTTTCTTCTGTACATGATGAGTGTTTTCTCGCACATAAAAAGATTGTAAAATAGTGGTGTAAGTACGAGTATCGTCTCCACAGGGACGGACAAAAGGGAATCAAGAATTAATTAAATTAAGCGATTAAAAAGAAAATAAAATAAAAGCGTCGTGCGAGATTGGTTGGTTTGGAAAATAAAACTAATGCGAACAATTAAACTAGGGGGTTCTTTCTAATTAATGACGAAGGGAACAGAGATCGATTCCGGGGTAACCAGATTTCTGGCAGATCAGGCCTAATTACATGAAATTAATTTAATTGAGCCTAGCTAATCATTACTAAGTTCTTACCGCTCTCACGGCGTAGAGTACAATAATTTAAGGGACCAGACTGATCTCTCATGCGACAGGATCCTAAATTATTGCCAAGACGAGCGAGCTTACGGCCCCTTAATCGCTATTAATATCTTAGCGAACGATTAAGTGTGTGTGAATGTGTCCTAGAACAAATTAGATCTCTCTTAATTTATTCTACATGCAATTGTAATTCTAGTCGCGATTCTAGGTTACAAAAGATATCAATTAAATTATTCAAACACAAATTAAACGGCATTCATGCAATTAAACCGAAAAGAATCTAGCCATACATCATGATTAACCCCTTCATCAATCCCAAATTCCTATTTAAAACTACTCACAATTCATAATTGAAGAATCAATAGAATTGGAATAAAAAGAATTAATTGTCATTAATTAAAAAGATGGAACTTACAAAGAATACCAAAAGATTGATGAACAAGGCTGAAAACCCCTCTAAATTTCGTGCTAGGCACTCTCTCTAAGCTCCCCCCTTGAAAACGGGGTTTACAGGCTCTTTAAATAGAAAAATCGGGTGAAATTTGAGCTGAATTAGGATTTTCGGAGCCAGGCACGATCGTGCCTTCGATCGTGCCTCCGGAGCAAAAACGCGCATTTTGGGCAGGCACGATCGTGCCTCCCTCTAGGCACGATCGTGCCTGGCTGGCAGTAACTCCTCTGTGTTTTCTCTTCACGCACGATCGTGTCTGACTTTGAGGGCACGATCGTTCCTACTTAACTTCCGAATTTGACAAAACTTCCTTCATGAAAGTTGTAGATAATGAAGTCCTCTATCCACCCCAATTCGCAGAATGTGATTTGAATCATCCAATCAAGAGATATGATCAAAACGGTGGAAGGTGTCTTTCTGAAATCGCAGCAGAGATCATCTGACTTCATCATCTGTTTTCACCTTCTTCCTTTCAGATTCTCGCAAAGGTGTCTTCATAGGATTTGTAGCTCTTGAAGTTAGCTTTCATATGAACTTTGAATCGGGTCCATTGCTGGTTTCTAAAGAGATATATGATTGAACGATTGACAGAAGGTCATCCTGATCGTCGTTTTCAAGCTTCATTCATCTTCTTTTGACCCCGTAGCCAATCCTAGAGCTCGGTTTACCTTCAAATCTTCATTGTGAACCTCCCGGTGACCTCCAAATCTCTCAAATCTTTCTTGAATGTCTCTCGAATCATCCCGATTGTTCCTCAAGTGCCGGTGCCGGGCTCAAATTCCCTGATTTTGACTACAAACAACACAAAGCTCGAACCAACGCCCGGTAAACATAACTTGAGCTAAAATTGAGACTTGTAACACCTTAAATCTAGGAAAATCATCAAAAGCCGATCTCAACACGCATCAAATACGTGTCAAAATAGGGACTTATCAAATTCCCCCACACTTAAGCCTTTGCTTGTCCTGAAGCAAACTCAACAACGGGACTTACGATAATCACCACACAGAATTAAAATAATTAGCATGCACAAGTAGTTAAAGCGATATTCACAGAATAGGCAGACTAAACCAAGAAAATTCATCTCTAAACTACATCTTTGTACTCAAGCTAAACTATTTGACAAATTTATTCACAACATCCTCAAAGTAGTGACAACGTACACAAATAAACTAGCTATTGATCAGAAGGACTTGTGAAGGTGGTGGTGAATGGTCAATGGATAATCAAAATCAGTCCCTCTTTTTTTTTTAGAGTTTGGAATATCCTGACAAAGACTCAATGCATTCGGGAATTTCGGGGCTATTTTTAAGAACAAGGAACTTAGTAGGCCACAATTTAGGAAAAATCATCTAAACCTATGCAAAGAGTAGACATGGTGTACAACTAAGCTAAACCGTCGCGGCACATTTTTGCTTTGACGTATACTTGAAGTACGCGGAGGACTAAAGCTAAATTTTTATAATAGCCTCCAAGTTCATTAATTATGTTTAGTTTTCCTTGTCATGTTGGCACGAGAACGCCGTTTCTTTCGAAAGATACCCAAGTCTCATCTTACGCTTTTTGACCGGGGCTCTCATTCTCTTTTTCGCAAAGTAAGAGGTCTAGCTATATTAATTTTTCACCTTTCGGATTCTCACTAGACATTACCCCATTCTAATCTCGGCCTCACCAAGGAAAAATAGCAATTAAAGTTCATTAATTTCAAAGTGAATCCATGCCTACAATGCAATCCTCGAAAGTATCATATTCCTAAAAGATGACAGCTCTTACCCCATTTGGGGCATAGGAACAATGCCAAAATTGGCTCCTACACAAATTCCCTAAACTTAACAAATTAATCCCTTAGTTCCCTAAACATCAAAACTATGTCAGAAATATTCACGGGTAAGGAAACACGGTCCATTTGGCTATGGAGCTCAATTAATTGGATAAACAATAAACGGTCAGGCTCAAAATAGTTTCTCCTAAAGGATTTTTTTCAGGTGGGGGGATGATTAATGGAAAATTCAATGGGTGACTAATGCCTTCATCCTTTCAACAACTATATTACCATGCAAGTAATTTAAGCCTAAACAATTCAAAAATGTCATAAAAGCATAGTCGAAACGCTAGCCAGCTCACAAAGACACAGTTTAAAGAAAAATTTCAAAAAATTTGACATGACTTTTCTACGAATATACAACTAATACCTGCGCATGCTAACTCTAATAATCACATGTAACAACTACTGCCCGAATGCCCAATTCACTCCCCCACACTTAAACTTTGGCATCGTCCTCGATGACCAAAAATGCACTATGCACAAGAGGGTAAAGAGGAAAGGGTCACGCGTGCTCAATTTTACTCAAGTCAATATTTCAACAAGCGAGGAAAAGAGTCAAAGAAACTTCCCTATAGCGCTGGTCGGTGCAGAACTAAATTGAGTCAATGATCCTCGGCACATCATCCCCAAAGCAAGACCCTGAGCTGCAAAAACAAAACACACAACCACAAAAACAGAAAACACCCCGTTTTTTTTTGGTGGGGGGGGGGGGGGTTCTGAAAGCAAACAAACAAATAAAAACAAAAGTGCAGAAATAAGCTTGGGTTGCCTCCCAAGTAGCACTATTTTTAACGTCGTTTGCCCGACGAAACTTCCTCATGTGCTCTCAAATAGCAAAGACTGCAGTGGTGCACTTATAGTCAACGTCTCCAGCTTCCTCTCAACAAATGTCATTAGGTGGCGCAGATCTTTAAATTCTTCAGTCCACGTAGGCAGCATATGGTCTTCATAACCCTCATTAGTGCAGAAGTGAAGTATGAAACTCTCATCGTTTTCAGGTGGATAGGGAACATGAGTGAAAACTTTGATTACTCTAGGCATCACCGGAAGCTCAAAACATGTCTCCAAACAAGGAGTATGAGCAACACCGTAATCAAACTGCACCATAGAAAAGTCCTCTTCTTCCTCACAGATATCATGAACATTCACAACCTCTCCTCCGGACTCTGTATCACTCCCCATGAAGGAATCCCAACTCTCGTTAACAGCGTTCTCATCAGGGTATTCAAAAACATCAGGAAGTGTATCATCCGTCATATTCCCACCTTCGCAGTCCGACTCACTCACATGATCATCCCTATTGGTTTCCTCAGGTTCAATTTCTGTGTCTCTAGGATGAGATCTCTCGGACTCCTCAGATAAAGCCTTTATAATCTGCCCCAATTGATTCTCCATGTTCTGCATCCTTGTGTTTGCTTGCTGTTGAATTGCCATGCACGCCTCAGTTGCTTGCATGACTTGCCTAAGTGTTTCTTCCAGGTCAGACAGCTTCTCTGAAATTATCTCTTCCACTTCATCATGTGGCTCATAGCTCGGCAAAGACGTGGGAGTGACTGAAACATTTGTGTTCGTAAATTGTGGGGAGGAAGAAGTGGGGTAAGCAGTTTCCCGGAAAGGATGGTCATATAGAGGTTTGATGGGGCAAAGACATAAATGGTGATCTCCTCCACAGAAGGAACAAATGATATCCTTAAAACATTCAGATATTTCCTCAGGCGTTTTATTTAGAAGCATAAATTCAAGAATGGAGCCTCGTCTTACGCTTACCCAAGGGTAATGTGATGAAGGATAGTAAGAATCAGAATGAAAGGGTTGTGTGGTTGGAGTGTACGGATAAGAAGGCTGAATATTTTGTGGTGTAGGAGAGTAATTTTGATGAGGTGTGTAATATTGAGGAGGAGTGTAAGGAGGGTATGGCGTATATGGTGAATATTCCATGGAGGTTTGAGGGTAAGGAATTCCTCCAGGAATTTGGCTGAATGGGTTCATCTCATGCCTTTTAGAAAAATACCTGAAAGGTTAGCACAGAAAAATCCTACGAAGAAAAACTAACTAAAAAAAATCTCGCTGAAATTAATTAACTCTTAAAACCGACACCGTCCCCGGCAACGGCGCCAAAAACTGATGAGTGTTTTCTCGCACATAAAAAGATTGTAATATAGTGGTGTAAGTACGAGTATCGTCTCCACAGGGACGGACAAAAGAGAATCAAGAATTAATTAAATTAAGCGATTAAAAAGAAAATAAAATAAAAGCGTCGTGCGAGATTGGTAGGTTTGGAAAATAAAACTAATGCGAACAATTAAACTAGGGGGTTCTTTCTAATTAGAAGGGAACAGGGATCGATTCCGGGGTAACCAGATTTCTGGCAGATCAGGCCTAATTACATGAAATTAATTTAATTGATCCTAGCTAATCATTACTAAGTTCTTACCACTCTCGCGGCGTAGAGTACAATAATTTAAGGGACCAGGCTGATCTCTCATGCGACAGGATCCTAAATTATTGTCAAGACGAGCGAGCTTACGGCCCCTTAATCGCTATTAATATCTTAGCGAACGATTAAGTATGTGTGAATGTGTCCTAGAACAAATTAGATCTCTCTTAATTTATTCTACATGCAATTGTAATTCTAGTCGCGATTCTAGGTTACAAAAGATATCAATTAAATTATTCAAACACAAATTAAATGGCATTAATGCAATTAAACCGAAAAGAATCTAGCCATACATCATGATTAACCCCTTCATCAATCCCAAATTCCTATTTAAAACTACTCACAATTCATAATTGAAGAATCAATAGAATTGGAATAAAAAGAATTAATTGTCATTAATTAAAAAGGTGGAACTTACAAAGAATACCAAAAGATTGATGAACAAGGCTGAAAACCCTCTAAATTTCGTGCTAGGCACTCTCTCTAAGCTCCCCCCTTGAAAACGGGGGTTTACAGGCTGTTTAAATAGAAAAATCGGGTGAAATTTGAGCTGAATTAGATTTTCGGAGCCAGGCACGATGCCAGGCACGATCCTGCCTTCGATCGTGCCTCCGGAGCAAAAACGCGCATTTTGGGCAGGCACGATCGTGCCTCCCTCCAGGCACGATCGTGCCTGGCTGGCAGTAACTCCTCTGTGTTTTCTCTTCACGCACGATCGTGTCTGACTTTGAGGGCACGATCGTGCCTACTTAACTTCCGAATTTGACGAAACTTCCTTCATGAAAGTTGTAGACAATGAAGTCCTCTATCCACCCCAATTCGCAGAATGTGATTTGAATAATCCAATCAAGAGATATGATCAAAACGGTGGAAGGTGTCTTTCTGAAATCGCAGCAGAGATCATCTGACTTCATCATCTGTTTTCACCTTCTTCCTTTCAGATTCTCGCAAAGGTGTCTTCACAGGATTTGTAGCCCTTGAAGTTAGCTTTCATATGAACTTTGAATCGGGTCCATTGATGGTTTCTAAAAAGATATATGATTGAACGATTGACAGAAGGTCATCCTGATCGTCGTTTTCAAGCTTCATTCATCTTCTTTTGACCCCGTAGCCAATCCTAGAGCTCGGTTTACCTTCAAATCTTCATTGTGAACCCCCCGGTGACCTCCAAATCTCTCAAATCTTTCTTGAATGTCTCTCGAATCATCCCGATTGTTCCTCAAGTGCCGGTGCCGGGCTCAAATTCCCTGATTTTGACTACAAACAACACAAAACTCGAACCAACGCCCGGTAAACATAACTTGAGCTAAAATTGAGACTTGTAACACCTTAAATCTAGGAAAATCATCAAAAGCCGATCTCAACACGCATCAAATACGTGTCAAAATAGGGACTTATCAGTACATTCTTAGACATGGGCCAACAGCACCAAATATTAAATATTTATTGGGCATTCAAGAATTAGGGGGCCAGCCAGCCCTTGCTGTGGGCCGACCCAGCAACACAATCCCTTAATGTATGAAATGTGAAAACTAAGTTCAAGTGGGTTGAGAAGAAAAGATTATGTCATTGGTTATAAGAGGGACGATAAATGTTTACCACTTCAATCTAGGGGTGTGCATATCGGTTTAGTTTAACCGAACCCATTCGAATCATACCAAATCGAACTAAACTGAACCAAAATGGAATCATGTGCAATTTGGTTTAGGTTTGATAGTATTTCTTCCAACCCGTATTAAATCGAACCAGACTGAAATGATAAAATCCGAATAAAACCGAACCAAATAAATTCAATAAAATCTTCATATGCAATTAAATATAACAAATCCAAACCGAACTAAACCGAAAAATAATATGATTTTTATTTAGAAATAATTCTTCAAACCATTCCGAAATGAACCGAAACTGATAAAATTGAATCGAAAACCAATGTGCCCACCCCTACTTTCGATCAGTAGACACTCCATCAGTTGTGCAGTTGGTGATTGATTGTTAAAATGCATAGAATATATAGTCATCGTAATAGATATCATAATTAGAACTGAAAAATATAAAATTAGCTGAAAGAGAAAAATGTCAAATCAGCCCTCATACTTTCACTTTCATCAACTACATCTTCCTACTTTGAAGCTTTCATCAAAACTGGCTTTTAGCGTGTAAACTGCCGGTCATCAGGTTACCGACTTATGTGGTGCGCATGTGGCCTGACACGGCATAGTGGATGTGGCAGCCCACATCACCTTTTTCTTTTTCCTTTTCTTTTTCTTGTCTTCTTTTTCCTTCTCCTTTTTCTTTTTTCTCTTCCCCAGGCCACCTTTCTTCTTCTTCTACACACAAATGATGTCTTCGCATGAAGAGGAGTCACCGAAATGAAGGATGCTCATAAAATTTAACTAAAAATATGAGGAGACGTGCCTGTTCAGGGCGACCTCCTTTGCATATTATGTTTTTTTGTGCCAAGCTGAAAAATCACAGGAAAAACATGCCAGAGGAGTCCAAAAAAAGAGAAGCGCCAGCGAGCTATAAAACCATCCTCCAAACCTCATTTCAGCTGCTCACAATTGATATGGATCGGCGTCCTTGCCCATCGAACTCCAATCTATTCTCAAAATTACAAACAACCGCCGACATTTGAGTTATGAACATAAAACGATATCCGAATGAACAATATTTTTTTGTCCTTGTCAATTATTGACAGAAAAAGGAACAAAGGTGAACAAGAAAAAGAATTAAAAGAAAAAAGAAAAAGAGGTGGCAACATGATTCCATGGACGGTATGCAGGTCTGGAGGAAGAAGATGACCTGGAATAGGGAAACAGTGGAAGGAAGGAAAGAAAAGGAAAAGGAAAAAGAAAAAGAAAAGAAAAAGGGAAAAGAGAAGAAAATAAAAAAGTGACATGGGCTGCCATGTGGGTGCCGTATCAGGCCACATGTGCGTCACGTCAGCAGGTAACCTGCTGATCAGCACGTTACCTACTAGCCTGCTAAAAGTCGGTTCTGACGAAAACATTAAAGTAGGAGGATGCAATTAATGGAATCATGAAAGTGAAAGTACGAGAGTAGAATTAACTTTCCATACAGAGTACGAGATCCGATTTGACACTTCTAAATTATAAAATGATACTAATCTGTACTTTTTGCAATGGAGCCAAAGATTCATTATTTTTTTACTTGAGAGTAGGATGGAATAAAGCAAAATTGCTCACTAAACTGTCTGCGCTTCTTTGTTATGAAGCAGCAGTCAGTCCATGCAATTTTGGACGCGATTTTCACTATGGGTCATCCGGAAACAGTCTTTTTGTGCTTTAGTACAGGAGTAAGACTGCGTACATTCGACCCCCCTTACCCCACCGTAGGTGGGAGCTTTTGCGGCACTGAGGTAAATGAAAATGAAATGAAATGACTAATCTATACTTTTTATGGTAATCTATATTTATATTTCTAACGATACCAATTTGTATGAAATCGTGTGTGGAAGAATGTTTATTTGGTCATTATATATTAAATAATATACCTTTAACCATTACCATATATGTACTTAATACAACTTTATACCATATATGAGTACATTTACATTGTTGGGTGTGTTTCGGAAAATAAAGAAAATTAATTAAAATAAATTAATTAAATAAAATGACTAGAGAAAAACAAGAAAAGAGATGAAGCAGAATTAGTCAAAGCTCGTGTTACGCACGATGTCCTTAAAACGTATTTGTTGCCTCCCACGGTGCTAGGAGCGTTGCAACAATAGTTTCCCAGGATACGATGACTACAAACTAATGTTTGAGCACACAAACAAGAGTTCCAGCGAACAAAGACTGAACACTCAGGAATTTTCAGAATGACTGGAGGTGTTTTTAGCTGAAGAAATACGTGAGCTCGTGTATGCAAGAACGTGTAAAATCGTGTGTTGTTGCAAACCACCTGCCAGCCTTTATATAGGAGGATTTGTTGTGTGTAAATGGTGAATTAATGGACCTGAACGTTGGACATCAATGACCAGTCCGTTGGGCATTGAATCGTCCATGAACTGTCCATTTAACGCTGCATTAAAAGATAAGAACGTTGGGCATTTATTGCTGTAACGGTTCAGAACGCGACCAGAAGACCTCCCAACTGAACACATCGTAAGGTGTTCTGTCCGAAGCCAGCAGAATCCCTACGAGGGCTTCTGCCCGGAGCCACCAGAACACCATACCGAGGTGTTCTGGTCGAGCCCTTCTGTCCGGAGCGTCTCTGCCGCTAGGCACTTCTGTCACTGGGAAAAAATAAACGTTTTGGGAAGAAAACAAAAATTAACCGTATCTCTTGAGAGATAGATTTTTGGACGACATTCGTGTCCACAGGTCGCCCGCGCACGCAAGTTGCGGTTTTTCTTCTCCGATTTCG